CACCTACCCCGGAACATAAAAGCACTACAGGGGTAAAGATTTTAAAGTCTGGATTTAGCTGGATTTCGGTCATTTTGGGATGGGCGTGGCCCCTGGGAGTGGCCCGAGTGGGTTGAGAGGTCGAAACTTGATTTTTATGATGGTTTGGGACAGGCAGAACCCATTTTTAAACTAAAACATGTCCCACCTACCCCGGAACATAAAAGCACTACAGGGGTAAAGATTTTAAAGTCTGGATTTAGCTGGATTTCGGTCATTTTGGGGATGGGCGTGGCCCGGCCCTGGGAGTGGCCCGAGTGGGTTGAGAGGTCGAAACTTGATTTTTATGATGGTTTGGGACAGGCAGAACCCATTTTTAAACTAAAACATGTCCCACCTACCCCGGAACATAAAAGCACTACAGGGGTAAAGATTTTAAAGTCTGGATTTAGCTGGATTTCGGTCATTTTGGGATGGGCGTGGCCCCTGGGAGTGGCCCGAGTGGGTTGAGAGGTCGAAACTTGATTTTTATGATGGTTTGGGACAGGCAGAACCCATTTTTAAACTAAAACATGTCCCACCTACCCCGGAACATAAAAGCACTACAGGGGTAAAGATTTTAAAGTCTGGATTTAGCTGGATTTCGGTCATTTTGGGATGGGCGTGGCCCCTGGGAGTGGCCCGAGTGGGTTGAGAGGTCGAAACTTGATTTTTATGATGGTTTGGGACAGGCAGAACCCATTTTTAAACTAAAACATGTCCCACCTACCCCGGAACATAAAAGCACTACAGGGGTAAAGATTTTAAAGTCTGGATTTTAGCTGGATTTCGGTCATTTTGGGATGGGCGTGGCCCCTGGGAGTGGCCCGAGTGGTTTGAGAGGTCGAAACTTGATTTTTATGATGGTTTGGGACAGGTAGAACCCATTTTTAAACTAAAACATGTCCCACCTACCCCGGAACATAAAAGCACTACAGGGGTAAAGATTTTAAAGTCTGGATTTAGCTGGATTTCGGTCATTTTGGGATGGGCGTGGCCCCTGGGAGTGGCCCGAGTGGGTTGAGAGGTCGAAACTTGATTTTTATGATGGTTTGGGACAGGCAGAACCCATTTTTAAACTAAAACATGTCCCACCTACTCCGGAACATAAAAGCACTACAGGGGTAAAGATTTTAAAGTCTGGATTTAGCTGGATTTCGGTCATTTTGGGATGGGCGTGGCCCCTGGGAGTGGCCCGAGTGGGTTGAGAGGTCGAAACTTGATTTTTATGATGGTTTGGGACAGGCAGAACCCATTTTTAAACTAAAACATGTCCCACCTACCCCGGAACATAAAAGCACTACAGGGGTAAAGATTTTAAAGTCTGGATTTTAGCTGGATTTCGGTCATTTTGGGATGGGCGTGGCCCCTGGGAGTGGCCCGAGTGGGTTGAGAGGTCGAAACTTGATTTTTATGATGGTTTGGGACAGGCAGAACCCATTTTTAAACTAAAACATGTCCCACCTACCCCGGAACATAAAAGCACTACAGGGGTAAAGATTTTAAAGTCTGGATTTAGCTGGATTTCGGTCATTTTGGGATGGGCGTGGCCCCTGGGAGTGGCCCGAGTGGGTTGAGAGGTCGAAACTTGATTTTTATGATGGTTTGGGACAGGCAGAACCCATTTTTAAACTAAAACATGTCCCACCTACCCCGGAACATAAAAGCACTACAGGGGTAAAGATTTTAAAGTCTGGATTTAGCTGGATTTCGGTCATTTTGGGATGGGCGTGGCCCCTGGGAGTGGCCCGAGTGGGTTGAGAGGTCGAAACTTGATTTTTATGATGGTTTGGGACAGGCAGAACCCATTTTTAAACTAAAACATGTCCCACCTACCCCGGAACATAAAAGCACTACAGGGGTAAAGATTTTAAAGTCTGGATTTAGCTGGATTTCGGTCATTTTGGGATGGGCGTGGCCCCTGGGAGTGGCCCGAGTGGGTTGAGAGGTCGAAACTTGATTTTTATGATGGTTTGGGACAGGCAGAACCCATTTTTAAACTAAAACATGTCCCACCTACCCCGGAACATAAAAGCACTACAGGGGTAAAGATTTTAAAGTCTAGATTTTAGCCGGATTTCGGTAATTTTGGGATGGGCGTGGCCCCTGGGAGTGGCCCGAGTGGGTTGAGAGGTCGAAACTTGATTTTTATGATGGTTTGGGACAGGCAGAACCCATTTTTAAACTAAAACATGTCCCACCTACTCCGGAACATAAAAGCACTACAGGGGTAAAGATTTTAAAGTCTGGATTTAGCTGGATTTCGGTCATTTTGGGATGGGCGTGGCCCCTGGGAGTGGCCCGAGTGGGTTGAGAGGTCGAAACTTGATTTTTATGATGGTTTGGGACAGGCAGAACCCATTTTTAAACTAAAACATGTCCCACCTACCCCGGAACATAAAAGCACTACAGGGGTAAAGATTTTAAAGTCTGGATTTTAGCTGGATTTCGGTCATTTTGGGATGGGCGTGGCCCCTGGGAGTGGCCCGAGTGGGTTGAGAGGTCGAAACTTGATTTTTATGATGGTTTGGGACAGGCAGAACCCATTTTTAAACTAAAACATTTCCCACCTACCCCGGAACATAAAAGCACTACAGGGGTAAAGATTTTAAAGTCTGGATTTAGCTGGATTTCGGTCATTTTGGGATGGGCGTGGCCCCTGGGAGTGGCCCGAGTGGGTTGAGAGGTCGAAACTTGATTTTTATGATGGTTTGGGACAGGCAGAACCCATTTTTAAACTAAAACATGTCCCACCTACCCCGGAACATAAAAGCACTACAGGGGTAAAGATTTTAAAGTCTGGATTTAGCTGGATTTCGGTCATTTTGGGATGGGCGTGGCCCCTGGGAGTGGCCCGAGTGGGTTGAGAGGTCGAAACTTGATTTTTATGATGGTTTGGGACAGGCAGAACCCATTTTTAAACTAAAACATGTCCCACCTACCCCGGAACATAAAAGCACTACAGGGGTAAAGATTTTAAAGTCTGGATTTAGCTGGATTTCGGTCATTTTGGGATGGGCGTGGCCCCTGGGAGTGGCCCGAGTGGGTTGAGAGGTCGAAACTTGATTTTTATGATGGTTTGGGACAGGCAGAACCCATTTTTAAACTAAAACATGTCCCACCTACCCCGGAACATAAAAGCACTACAGGGGTAAAGATTTTAAAGTCTGGATTTTAGCTGGATTTCGGTCATTTTGGGATGGGCGTGGCCCCTGGGAGTGGCCCGAGTGGGTTGAGAGGTCGAAACTTGATTTTTATGATGGTTTGGGACAGGCAGAACCCATTTTTAAACTAAAACATGTCCCACCTACCCCGGAACATAAAAGCACTACAGGGGTAAAGATTTTAAAGTCTGGATTTAGCTGGATTTCGGTCATTTTGGGATGGGCGTGGCCCCTGGGAGTGGCCCGAGTGGGTTGAGAGGTCGAAACTTGATTTTTATGATGGTTTGGGACAGGCAGAACCCATTTTTAAACTAAAACATGTCCCACCTACCCCGGAACATAAAAGCACTACAGGGGTAAAGATTTTAAAGTCTGGATTTAGCTGGATTTCGGTCATTTTGGGATGGGCGTGGCCCCTGGGAGTGGCCCGAGTGGGTTGAGAGGTCGAAACTTGATTTTTATGATGGTTTGGGACAGGCAGAACCCATTTTTAAACTAAAACATGTCCCACCTACCCCGGAACATAAAAGCACTACAGGGGTAAAGATTTTAAAGTCTGGATTTAGCTGGATTTCGGTCATTTTGGGATGGGCGTGGCCCCTGGGAGTGGCCCGAGTGGGTTGAGAGGTCGAAACTTGATTTTTATGATGGTTTGGGACAGGCAGAACCCATTTTTAAACTAAAACATGTCCCACCTACCCCGGAACATAAAAGCACTACAGGGGTAAAGATTTTAAAGTCTGGATTTAGCTGGATTTCGGTCATTTTGGGATGGGCGTGGCCCCTGGGAGTGGCCCGAGTGGGTTGAGAGGTCGAAACTTGATTTTTATGATGGTTTGGGACAGGCAGAACCCATTTTTAAACTAAAACATGTCCCACCTACCCCGGAACATAAAAGCACTACAGGGGTAAAGATTTTAAAGTCTGGATTTAGCTGGATTTCGGTCATTTTGGGATGGGCGTGGCCCCTGGGAGTGGCCCGAGTGGGTTGAGAGGTCGAAACTTGATTTTTATGATGGTTTGGGACAGGCAGAACCCATTTTTAAACTAAAACATGTCCCACCTACCCCGGAACATAAAAGCACTACAGGGGTAAAGATTTTAAAGTCTGGATTTAGCTGGATTTCGGTCATTTTGGGATGGGCGTGGCCCCTGGGAGTGGCCCGAGTGGGTTGAGAGGTCGAAACTTGATTTTTATGATGGTTTGGGACAGGCAGAACCCATTTTTAAACTAAAACATGTCCCACCTACCCCGGAACATAAAAGCACTACAGGGGTAAAGATTTTAAAGTCTGGATTTAGCTGGATTTCGGTCATTTTGGGATGGGCGTGGCCCCTGGGAGTGGCCCGAGTGGGTTGAGAGGTCGAAACTTGATTTTTATGATGGTTTGGGACAGGCAGAACCCATTTTTAAACTAAAACATGTCCCACCTACCCCGGAACATAAAAGCACTACAGGGGTAAAGATTTTAAAGTCTGGATTTTAGCTGGATTTCGGTCATTTTGGGATGGGCGTGGCCCCTGGGAGTGGCCCGAGTGGGTTGAGAGGTCGAAACTTGATTTTTATGATGGTTTGGGACAGGCAGAACCCATTTTTAAACTAAAACATGTCCCACCTACCCCGGAACATAAAAGCACTACAGGGGTGAAAAGCACTACAAATCCACTACAAAAATCAAGGAAACGTGCTCTCATCGAAGACCTTTTTGCGGATAGCCATGATTAGTTTATTACGTATTCATGTTGTTGATAATATTATTATAATATAGTGTGTGAAATCGAACCACGAGAAATTAATCGAAATATACCAAAGTTTACCTCAGCAAGTTGACTGATGCAGCCCAAAATATGTCTAAACAGCGAGGAAGATAGTTCAGGGCTCTTCAACTAAAAATAAAGAGTATACGGGTTATTTTAAATAATAATAAACATGGATTTAGGATTACAACCCGGTCATTGAAAAGCTTAAATTTCTATCGTGAAATATGGAAAGAAGCAAATATAGGTGCAAACTGCAAACCATGGAGTAAAAAAAAAGAACTAAAGAAATTTAAGATACGTGTAATTTGACACTACCTTTGGCATGAGTATTGACATAATCGGCTTGAGATAAAGTCGCACTAAAGTCGGTTGGGCGCTCTTTATTAGAATGTGAAGGAGTTTGGCTGCTTTCTCTTTGTTACGAGCTGAAAAGAAAGGTAATAATAGGCAAGCACACCATAACGTTAGTAACTATTGTGTGCACTCAGCACTGTTCCGGTAATCACGTCCCCATCTGCAACATCTTAAAACGAGATAAGAAGTACAACTCTTACCAATGCCACTGTGTTCGAACTGATGGAGTATGTGACTGAGCTGTTCTCTCAGGAAGGGGAGGATGTAGGCAGGGTTCTCGTCGCTCAAGTGTCCCAGAAGTTCCAGTACCACTTCCCGGACGTCGTGGGAGGGGTCGTTAACAGCCAGGAATAGCATCTGGGACAAGTTCGTCAGGTGACTTGATGACGATTTAACTTTTAAGTAGCTCAACGATTTAGACTTAATCAATCTATTTTCAAAACTAAAGGGAGTTCAAGAAGTGCTATTATATACAGCAGTCAACTGAATGCTATTAATAATTCAGATTTCAGAGGCTATTTTGGACTATTTAAGTATATTCATCAACAACGATCCGTATTCTTTGAGTTCAAAGGTAGCCCGTAGCACCCTAAAGATGAACGTCAATATGAATTTGGGGTCAAATTACTGAACAAGACAAAGATAGCCTATATGCTCAACATATCCCAAAATCACGCTCACCTGAATATTTTCTGACAGAGCCAACTGTTTGTGAAAGTCGGTGTTAAATTCTCTGAGGGTAGCGAGTCTGATTTCAGCAAGAGGGTCAGCTACAACGACCGCCAGAAGTTTAGTCAGAACGTCCGTCATCATGGTATGTGGAGAGTAGACACGTGCACCCACCAGGTTCACACCAGCATTAGTCGCCCTGATAAGATACTGTTAAGACTGGGGGACGCAAAAAAACAGAGCAGTCCAGATTAATAAATTTTCGATATAATACTTTGGAATCAGTAGTTGTTCTGACAGCAACCCTGATATTATGTCGACACATGATTGTGGGCACTCTGACTGCTTTAGATAGTTGGTCGAAAAGCAATTTAGCCCACTTTAGCTCAAACAGAATTTGGTAGCATTTCACTCCTTATAAAAAATCGGTTAACCAAAAACTCAACCAATAAGCTTTTATGACTTCCTAAACAATTGATTACAGTAAACAGTAAGCAAACAAATACTCACTTGACGCAAGGGACAAGTTTTCTGGCACAAGTTTTAGCAGTTTCTCGTCGGATCTCAAAGTTTGGGTCGTTGAGATACTCTTTAGCCAGATGGGTTATAAACGCTGTAAGACAGAGAATTTAACATTTTGCAAAAAGATTTTGATCGAAGAATATCAATTTATAAAATCATACTTAATATTAGGGATGTTTTATTGAAAATGCCCATATAAGGATATAACTCCACTCACGTTTAAGGAGTTTGTCATCAAATTTGAATTCCCCGATTGTTCTAATAGCCAGTAGTTTACTCTGGACATCAGTAGGAGCAAACCAGTCCATGGGCTCTGGGTACGGTTTATCTTCTTTGATGTACGGCAGGTTCATGATTATACGAGAGAATATGTTCAGGAGACCATCTGAAAACATGTTACTTTAGTGATTTAGTTAACCAGAAATGGAAATTAAAATTGAAATTTAGGCATTAATATCAAGCTCAAGGACATTCAAAACTAATTTAATTGGGATGACTTATGTAACAAAGAACTTATTATTTTAATGTTAGATTCACCCACCCTGGATCTTGTTTTTAACAGCAGGAACATTAGCATGAAGTACAGCCAGACAATCAGTGAGCGCTTTAGTCAGAGTCATCCACAGCATTCCATCAATACAGTCACATATTGATATGTGGAACTTGTCCCTGGTTGCTTTAGCTAGGAGTGATATGAGTTGCAACACGTTTCCTTCTACCTGGGTGTTGATGCTACGTCTGTATCTGATGGTGAAGAGGTGGAGGTTACACCTTTTAAATAGTAACTTTAAAAGAGGTAAATATACTTGTTCGCAAATATAATAAGTGGGAATCTTTGGACGAAGTTAGGAAAACAGTGAAACTAGCACATACTTGGCAAGCTCGAGAGGGTTAGGAATGTAGGGTTTGATGACGGTGAATATCTTGTCTATGTAACAGATAATACCATCCTGCATACTGTACGCTATCTGCCCTATTGCCAGGAATGCTTTAGGAGATACCAAACCTGACGGCTTGAAATTCTTTGCCTGAAATGTAACAGAAATTGAGTAAATCCATCTTCGTAAATGAAATAATCAGATAGATGAACGATAGTTATGACGAATCAACAAACACTACCTGGAAATACGAATATTTATCAACAAGTTTGTCATCAATTCGTTGTAAACTTGACAATAACATGCCTGATTTCATATCAGGACCTTAAAAACAGAAAGCTAACCTGGGTGGTAAGATAACGAAAAGTTTCAGAGAGGAAGTATTCCTGGAATGTGGAACTATCAAAAGCAGCAAGACGAGGCAGCACCTCCGTTAACAGGAACTGAACTTCGGAGTTTTTGTAATTCTTTTGCAGCACCTTTTCTACTCCTTGTCCGATCTACAAAACCATTATGGGATTATTCGTTGATTTTCTTTATCTCAGAATAAATTGTGATACATTTAAAAAAAATAGTAATAAAGCGTTTCAAGAGTAGACACTCTGAAATACACAACCCACCTTGATAAAATTGTTCACGTTTTCGCCCGGTTCATATTCGTTAATCAATTTCCTGCATTGCTGTGAAAAATGGTGTCCCTCTTCACCAAACACGTTCTTCGGAATATCATACCTGAAATAGTTCAAATTGTTGTTGGAACCATAACAGAATGATATCCTAAGTCTCGTAACTTCATATGATATTCATCAAATTCTTATAGATTATATCTTGCCCCTGATAGGCAAAAAGCTAGTGCAAGTATTAAATTTGAGTTTTGAATTTCAGTATATACAGTGTATAATGATCGCATCGTTACTACTACACTAATTTACTCCAAGAAAGACGATATTTTTAGGAAAACTCACAGCAAACTACTATCTGTTGGATCGTGTCCTTGTATCAAGCACGCAGTCTCCCTCTCCAGCGAAGACAACCCAATCAGCTTCAACAAACTGATCTTATCTGGACCACCAAAACAGTTCTCCTCGTATACCAGCAGTTCCTGACGCATGGTAGAGGTCCGTAACATCTCGATTATTATCATGATACCTCCACGCACTTCGTCATCCTTTGTTAACATGCTTTGTGCTTCACGGAGCAGTTCCTGGTAACATAATTTTTTAGCTGATTGTGGACATTTGAAATTCGACAACAACCTTTGGAAATGAGGACAATCTGACAGAACTAAATCTAAATACTTATTCTAGTTAGAACCCTTGGCAGGGATATCAAACTTTAAGAACTGGATAAATTCAAAACCCACCCGATAGTAACGTTTAGTCTCGTTCTCCTCATCGTGAGGGCTGTGAACGTTGTGAATGTTGGTTTCTCTCTGGGCCACGATGGTCAGTGAGGCACGAAGTGCTGCTATCGCCGCAAATCTTATCTCCTTTTTCTGGTCTTTTAAAACTTTAACGATGAGCTCTCGGAAGGAATTGAGCTTGTGGAAGAAGTAGGTTGGGGCGTTGATAGCCATTTCTCTTATAATGAGAATCTGAAACACAATATGTCAACATTTTAATTCCAAATGAAATATCAAATCTAACAATAATTTACAGATGCTTGTGATAGTAAAATCGAAAACGTACTAAATTTATCATACTATTACTGTAATAGAAATGAAAAATTCAAGAGATAAGAAGACATACGGCGGCCATCTTGGAGCTAGCATTACTCTCTCGGCTGCTCTTTACTTTCTCATCCAGAATCTCAAACGCTCTGTCCATGACTGGCTCAATGAATCTGTCGTACAGGTTCCCTTCCGCACGTGCAAGACGACCCATCGCCCACGTGCTAAGGCGCAGAGTGGCGTCGTCATTACAGGAGAGGTTTATTGTAGAGAGTGACTTGTTGTAACGCTGGGGTTGTGAGAACGACTTGCTGTCTGCTTCTATCAGGGCCACTGGAAATTACCATGATCATTTAAGAATTTCAAACTGAATAGACCATCGAAGATAAGTATGATATTGACTGGGAATGGCTAAGGACTTTTGAGATGATAGGAAAAACTGAATTGATATCCGGCAAGGGGCCGAAGCAACCTTATCAAGTATTTACCGATGGAAAGAACAGCTGCTTTCTTGTCCGCGACATCACTACTGTTGCTCAAAGTAACAATCTTGTGATTTAGTTCGTCAACAAACTTGCTGTACTTCTCCCCTCCAGGTCCCTCCTCTTGGAGGTCGCCCGCTATGTAGCTGTGGGGTGAATATCACGTGTTGATATCACGTGTTGATATCACTTGTTATTGTCACGTGTCATTGTCACGTGTTATTGTCACGTGTTATTTTCCTGGTCAAGAAAAGTGTTTTTCCAAAATTCCCTCGCAGTAACGAGATACAGAGAAAGGTAATTATTAAATACAAATGTTTTAAAAAGAACTCACTTCTTAAGTTGGCAGGCAGCATCACACCGCTGATTATCGTTCTTAGCCCGGATTAGGTTGAAGATGAATCGTTCTACTGTTGTCATCACATCTTCATTCTTTTAATTATCCATCTTCTAAAAACAGAGTTTTTAGGCGCACATATCATAAATGTTTTACTGAGTATTAGCAAGCGTCTATGACACATCATGACACATCAGATCATAGAAGAGAATCAGATTAGAAGGTAAATATAAATTTTAAGAATCTTTTGGTCAATTCCATTATATCACAATCTTATACATTTAATCATAATTGAAGAAATTCAATGAAAGCATCCATAAGTCGTTAATAAATACAAAAGATACAAATATCAAAAATTTACAATGCTACATAATATAAAATAAGTAAATTGTCATCAACGTATCTTAAATATGCATTACAATAATAAAAGAATACAAAATTCCCTGACAATACAAATAAACGAGATTGGAACACAGTAACTTTGTATCAGGACAATGAAGTCTCCAACCAATCGAAATGAGGCTGGGGCACGCTGGCCACCTGGTTCCGCTTTTTAACCAAGTTGGTTACAAACTCAATACACTTCCGTACATCTCTCATGATCTGTTCGAGGGCCACATTGTCCAACTCCTCAGCATCCAGCACACGTCTGAACTTTATACCCTTGCTAAGAGCATGTCTGATAGCACCCAAACAAGATGAATATTCCGGAGTAAGGAGACAGTACTCTTCCATAATATTACAGTACTTTTTATGAATCTGCACGTACTCATCAAGTTCCAGCGCTTTGTCCAGTTCACGGCGCATGTCAGCACCGGTACAATGCAGCACCCTCTGCATTGTGTACGCCTGGATCACCTTGATAAAGTTAATAAGCTCGTACCTAAAACAGTGTACCTGGTTTGAGAGCGGGTGTTGCAAGTTAGACTGCACCACCAGAGGTAACACACACCACGCTGTGTACTTTATCTGCAGCAACAGTGTGAAAACCTTCTGATAGATAACCAGCAGTTCGTTATCTAACACAATGTCAACAGGAAATGGCGGCAAATAGTCCACTTTAACACACTGGAACATGTCCAACTCGCTGGTGGTTTGTTTGGTAGGGTTCTGTTGTTTGACCACACCCATTCTCAAGTGGTTGGAGTAGTTGGTGAAGGGGGACATGCACTCCCTCAAGAACGGTGTCATCCCTCGTAACGTCTCACCCGTGTAGACGTCTTTGAACATTTCTTCGCAGAATGTGGACATGGGGAGGCCAGCTTCCATCAGCAGGACTTTTCTAAGGGTGTTAAGATGGTCGTCCAGGTGGAAGTCGTGTCTGAGTATTTTGAGGAGAGAGAATGAAACTTGTGTGCAGCGTTTCTCCATCAGAGGGACTAGGATCTTCAGGATTGATGTAGATGGAAGGATGTGTAGTTTGCCTATAGTGTTGAAAATCTCGCTGTAAATTGGGACCTCTTCTTTTTGGGGAGATAAACTCATTGCCATGTCCACGAACAGTGATGTCAGCAAACGGTCACTCTGACACTGATCAACATTACCTAACTCAAACGGGATGAGAGTCGTTTGGGGAACCTCTGGGGCTGAGCTTAACAGGGATTTACCGAGATACTTCTTGATGAATACGTGGAAAAGATCCGCGTCTGGATCACCAAGTTTTCCTAACTTACTGATTAGCTCGATCGCTTTTCCTGCCTTTAACAACTTTTCCCTTAACGGTAAAAATATGCCTGGAATCTGGCTGTCAGGACCTAAATCATTATCCTTGAAGACAAGGCCACTTTCCCAGAACTCTGTAGAAGAAATGGATATATCAGGGTCACGTGTTAAGAACAGTTCGTCGGTGGTGTTGTTGAGATCCCCGTGCGAGAGCCAAGTGTCGATGGTGGTGAGGAGCGGTTGTAAAGTACAGAGGAATACTGTTAGCAGTACCTGTCAAGGATGGTGACTCAATTAGTTACAGCAAATCGGTGGAAGAGGGTGTAATGTAAATAACGAGTTATTTTGGGTACAGAATATTTGGTAAAACCCCAGGGGATTATTCTTTTTCTAAACATAAACAAAGATGATTTAATTAATAAGGTACTAATTATTGCAATAGACTGATATCGTGTCAGAGAACAATTAATAATTTGATCTAAGGAACCTTGGTAACATGTTGTGACAGAATGCCCATACTCTCATACAACTCCAGTGTATTGAACAAAATGTTGATGAGTCGGGTTACACACACACTCGGACTATCCAAGTCTATATCATGCAGGATCTCTTCTACCTGAATTGTTATTATTATTCTACCTTACATTGTTTAATAAAATACGGAGTTGGAAGATTTCTCACAGTTGACCGATGCTGATCACTTGATTACACGTCACAGTATGGAAAGTTGAGTAAAAGTATGACATCATGAATAGAGTATGACGTCATATAAAGAGGGAGCTCACGTACCATGTCGTAAAGAGCGCTGACTATCTCACACTGGCCCCTGATACATTCCTTTAGTTGTATTACCGTTACTACATCACTTTGCCTCATTACCTGAAACCAGAAATACAAGTGAACTTCTGAATTTGAAGAGTTGGTTAAGATTTTGACAGTAACTGAATCATAGACCTCTTTCAATATTGCTCTAAAGTTATAAAATTAAACATTGCACGAGTTTGAGGTTTTCTAAAACTTAGAATATATCTTTATAATTAAGTTTGATGTTTTACCAACTTACTTTGCGCTCAATGATAGACATTGCGCTTGTGAGCTGCTGCAAGTACATGAATATAGCGCACGCAAAGGCTTGGTAAGTCCTACTGCCGTAAGGGTGGGAGGGCTGTGCAACATAGTTCAGCACATCGTCACTCACATAGTGCAGACTTTGCACCTGACAGAATATCCGGGTCATTCCTTTATAACTTCTGTAAAACACATGTCTCATTTACGGTAACACGACATCTGTCCGACAGCGACTCTTGTCCGACTCATGTTACCAAAAAAACGACATCTGTCCGAAATTGTGATTTAATTTCAATTAGAGCTTGTGACGTCACAAGATTACCCGTGAGCTTGAGAAATACGAATGTGATCCGAAAGTCGGAGAGTTGTCGCCCAAAACGACTCCTGTCCGAAACCGCTAATTCAGCTGTCGGACAGATGTCGCCCAATCCTCATTTACATATTCTATATAATCTAAATTCTGAAACTCTAAACCTGAAGCTACTCGAAAAGTTTTCAAAGAAAACTATTCAGGGTAAAGTTTAAGCACAAAGTACAATGAAGTTAGTTGATCTTACCATCTGAATGATGTCGAGGAAGTAGTTGAGGACATTGTATAGTGCCTCTTGAGAGTAGTGCTGAACTGTTATATCCTCTCTAAGGTACACTTTGTGTTCATCAAAAACGGGGAATATGAAGCTAGTTGGGGCTCCTTGAAGCATTGTCAGGATCTCCCGCAGTATCTGTACAAGTACAGAGTTAGAATATTAGGTTTATAACGTACACTTTTTACGTTACACAAATACTTATTCGATATTGTTGAGCAGGTGAAGAAATTTCAGCAATAACCTTTACTCTGATATTCATGCTTTTCATTCTAGTCATATGGTAGTTAATACAGTAACTGTAAACTCAATTTGAAGTTTCTAGTTCACAAATTTCTGAGCGGCTTTCCGGCATCTAATTGATATGTTAGGGCAGATGATAAATAAAATGATAATATAATATCAGTACCTGCAGCTCAGTAATAGGCTCCAGATTAGCATCATTCCTCCAGTACTGCTTAACAAGAGACTGGCAAATGTCAGCGTATTTGGGTATCATGGCTGGACTCATCTCTGGTTCCTTCACCGGCACTGAAATTGACACGTCACATTCACATTGTGGTACAGAGGCACATATTAGGTGCGATGGGTGCGGGATCGCACAATTTACCGTTTTCCGCACATTTCCGCATAATTTATTGTTTTCCGCACATTTCCGAACATTTTGTAATTTTCTGCATATTTCCGCATAATCTAGCATTTTCCGCGTAATTTCGCATAATTTTGAAATTTTCGCGTTAAGATTTTCAAGTGTAAAAACCAAAATATTTTAAAAGTCGGGCTCTTTTAGGACCGTGACTCAGGCCCTTTAAGGACCCTGACCCAGGCCCTTTCGGGACCCTGACCCAGGCCCTTTCGGGACCCTGACCCAGGCCCTTTCGGGACCGTGACCCAGGCCCTTTTGGAACTCATGCCTAGGCCACGTGACCCGGTTACCACGTGACCCAGGCCTTTTCGGGACCGTGACCCAAGCCCTTTCGGGACCGTTACCCAGGCCCTTTCGGGACCGTGACCCAGGCCCTTTCGGGACCGTGACCCAGGCCCTTTCGGGACCGTGACCCAGGCCGTTATGGAACCCTCGTCGTTACCGTACTTCGATTATAGTGTATCAGTTATCATTCGTAACTTCACCACATCATCTGCTTACTCTATATCACATCACAACGTCATGGACCGTTTCCTAAAGAAACGAACAGCTACACACAGTGACCGGCTGCACGACGGCCAGGCCCCCCTCATTATTCGGGAGATCAGATCATGACACCAATTAGTGACGTATGATTAGTGATGTGATCCATCAGTAGAATTTAATTGACCTAGAAATGGGCTAGATACAGAGTAGAGTTCACATGTCGACTCTGTTCACATAATATTATTAGTTAAATTGTGTTAATACTTTACCATACTACACGTAATAAAACAAATAAACCCTGTTTACAATGAGATAACATCACATGATCGAATCACGTGTTTTGATAACAAAGCTAGAGACTAAGGGGTATGGAGCACACTGCTTTTCATGTGTTTTATAGACTGACCATTAGTTCTTTTACACAGATTGTACTACTAGTCTTAACTATAATTATAAAGATTATCTTTTGTGGGGACCGAGGGCTCGTCATCCGAGTATAAAGCTGACACTCCTGATCACTACGTTCATAGAAATATTTCCTTTACCCTCATGAGATGTTGTCTGTATATATTGTCTTAACAATTGATCAATGTTCTCATTGTTCCAAATCTCATGATTCAATTTCACTTAACAAATTAACTCCTAACTAACCTTATGCCTAACTTACCTTATGCCTAACACGCATTACACATTATTTTATTTCCTCATCTTTGCCTTTGTTGATTGTTCATCTTCTCGCACAATTCCTTAAGTGGGTGAGTCATCGTCATGTGAATGTTTGCATAATGATCATTATGATCATTATGAGCCTAACATATTTTTTCCGGTTTACTTGCTACACGTTGCGATCAAAAGGGTGTGTCAACGATTTACTTTACTGAAGCCCGTACCTTTTAGTAGTACCTACCTCTCGATATACGATTTTGGAATCGAAGCTTCCCCCTTGTAATGCGACCACATATGTGATATACCAGTCAAGCGGTCAGATCTTAAAGATCATGTTTACTTCTTAATGCAATGCCATGATGTACAGAGTTGACATGTGAACTCTACCCTGTATCTAGCCCATTTCTAGGTCAGTTAAATTCTACTGATGGATCACATCACTAATTATACGTCACTAATTGGTGATATGATCTGATCTACGTTGGACCCCTAATAATAAGGGGGCCTGGTCGTCGGCCTCTCCAGTGACCCATCATCAAGCTCACCACACAAGAAACAGAAGATACCTGCATGGGATCTGATCGACTCTATCAAGAGGCGACTTCAAATAACGGTCTCCTGATCTCTACCAGATCAAGTCACTGTTCTCAGATAACTGAATCTCAATATTAGGTTCAATCATGGTCTTAGTAAAGAACTACACCTTCAGTAACACATAAACAGACCTATTTTTGATAAGAGCGGCGGTTATACGTTTAGAATTTCCAAAGTCCTTGAGAAAATGCAAAAGAAAACCGCACAATTCCCGCACAAATTTCGCCGCACATTTGCCGCATAATTGGTAAAAATTTACCGCACCTTACCGCACATTTAACCTTTATAGTCGGGTGTGGTACCGCATAATTTCGATTTTTTACCGCACCTAATATGTGCCTCTGTTGTGGTAACACTAGTACTATAATCTGATTTGTGCTGCTTGTGTTGTGGTCAGTGCATATAAAACAGTGCATATAAAACACTGGTCCTCCCCTGTCATAACCGGTTTTCTAGTATTAATGTATTTTTAAAGAACGAAGTCAGGGACTCAAATGGGAATATTATAATTTTAAAATATTATGATTTAAAAATAACTTTTAATTCTTCGAGGCTTAAAGGATTTATAAATGCTTTTGTCAAATTAAGCAAAGTAACATCAGGAGCATGTAAATATAGCAACATTCACATGATAAGAGGAGCAGCATAAAATAACTAGCATCGTTGATGCCGGCGAGATGTTAGCAACGTACCTTAATTCAACTCAAGATCAAAACGTCACGAGTTCATTTAATGATCAACACAATCAAATAGAAGAGTTAACAAATAAATAGTTAAACAAAATCAATTTTACATTTAAACAGAATATAAAATCCATATAGTTTAATAAACTGTGAAGCTCCAAACGATAACCAGCTAATGACTTCTTCTAGTTCCCCAGTGATTGCTCAAGTCTTTTGACCACCCCCATTGTCACGTGACTAACCAAGAGGAAGACGAGAGTAGCCGGTATCTACACTTTCCTCCTCACTGTCCAGCTCCTCCCCACTGGATATCTCCTCCTCGCTGGGATCAGAGTACTCAAAGTCTGCCACTAGGATAGCGTGCCAGTCTACCGTCTCCTCTACCGTCTCAGTTTCTTCTTCTATCTCTCCTGAAGATACAGGATATCAATCTAAACTATTTATAAGATTTCAGCCAGATTAGTACAGAACGAAATATGAATTCCAGCAAGCTAAGTAGTTGTTACATTACTAATGTCACACATTAGTAATGTAACTAATTGTAACAGTGTTTCGAATATTTGAGTTTTTGAACCCACGTTTGTAAGCTTGATTGACAGGATTCCTTGAGACATGCATGAGGAACTGCATGACACAATACTCCACATCCACATCCTCCCTTCCTTTAGCATCCTCCTCCCTCCCCTGTGTTAAGTACTCTTCTGTAGCTTCTTGCAGGTCATCTCCCAGATCCTGTTGGGATGACACTCGGAACTTCCTTATCAGTCCGTCTATTCTCCTGAAACAAAAGGTGAGATGGGCTTGGGTGGTGCGTTCTGTTAACTTAGTTATTCAAACTGGTCTGTTATTTTGGTAGATATTCAAACTGAAGCAGATTTGTTGCTAGACGTTTGGTTGTAGTGAAAGGGCTGTTTTTTAATTTCTTTAAAATTCACTGCACAACACACCTCTGCACGTCATTTGAATTGATAGATAGATATTTGTTGTTGGGAAGACTTTTCAATGCTGCTGAATGACATTTTTTAAACTGGTGCGATGTTTCTGAGCATTCTGTTTGTCTTGATACAAGTTCTTTCAATAAGTCATTTTGTGTTTTAGTTCGCTCCACAAAAAACTTAGGGCGTGATGCCATTCACTGCAAGATAATATTTAGTTTAGTGGTAAACAAGGTCTATTGGCAACATAAATCTAGGAAATCTAAACTTCATAAATATTCAAAAGATTCTGGATGCCATAAAACAAATATCTGATCAACATATTATAGAATTTGTTAAAACTAAAGCAAAAAAGAAAACTCATAACGAGTTAAGCACAGGTTTTACTCAGATTTGAAATCCCTACAAAATTGTTAGGTTTTGAAGCAAATTTGTACAACTTTTTAGACACTTTGAACGGAAATTTGTTTTTCTTTCTATATTGTTGAAGATATGACCAATGATGGACTGGTTTTCAAAGTTGTTGGGTCACGTTTAAACAAATTAGTTTTGATGGCTTATACTGCTGGATAAACACTGAATTCTCTCTTAAAATATTCTCTAAAACTTTGTTTCCTCATATTCGTAATAAATTAGCTAATACTACAAACAATATCATAATAATATAACAAACGCACCGTACAAAAGTAGGGCTCTCAAAAATTTACAAAACAATTCTTAAACCTAAATGTGCTGTAAATGGAACACAGAGGGTCACTGCAGTTGTAACAGGCTGGCTCATAATCAAACCCTGGAGGCTTGAATCTTGATCCAATGTTTAAGACCAATTATGATATTTCACTCAGTAAACATTAACTGAAAAATATTTTCACAAGTTCAATGAAAATTGCTTGCTTTGCACACAACGTCTTTAAACGTCTTCAATGATATCACCATATTTGTTTCGCCTCACATGCTTAGATGGGATCTCAGCAGGTGGTAAGCTGTAAGATTTCGAGTTATCAAAATCTCGCCCTTTATAACTTGAGTGAGTATTTCTATCTGCATCAAATGCTTTCAAACCGATATCAGTTTCATGGGTTGTGTGGTCGATTTGCTCTTCATGTGTGTCTATCGGCTTCACTTCTGTGGGCACACTACTAGGATATACCATATCAGAAGCACTTTGGGACATCATTTGGTCAAAATTCATAATACCCTCTGCCTTTAATCGTTGATCAAATATTTTCATAACTTCGTCTTTTATTGGTGAGGGTGGTAAACTCCTTACCCTGGGTAAACAAACACCTCGTCCATAAATAGAGCGGGCAGTAGTAAATGCACCAAATGCAACGCCAAACTTGATTACTGAACTCCATGACTTCATAGTAGCATTTCCCTTTGTCGAAATGTAATTTCCAGCTAGTTTGAAGGCAAGATATCCAGTTCCAGAGGACACAATAGTGCTTTCTAACAAACATCTAAGAACAGAATTGGCTACTTCCTTTTCCTGAGGGGTAAGATTTTTGGGGTCAAATCCTAGCGATCCTGGCACATTTGGTAGTTTGGTGCTGTCATTAATTACTCCATTTTCTTCTTTTTCCATTTTATAGCCTATTTCCTGAGAATATTGATTGCAATCTAGTATGTTTAGAGAACTTGTCATAATATACAATCAAATAGACAATAGACATGGGAAGAAAATATAGTATAGTACACTCAGCTTCAGTGTATTTAATTTGGGGGGGGGGGGGGGGGGGGGGTGTCATGTCCGCCTATGTCCGCCTATGTCCTGTCCTTTTTGGATTCTATGAGACAACAGACGTGTTTTTTGGGACATTGGCGGACACGGACGGACATTGGCGGACTCGGACGGACATTGGCGGACTCGGACGGACATTGGCGGACTCGGACGGACATTGCCGGACTTGGACGGACATTGGCGGACTCGGACGGAAATTGGCGGACTTGGATGGACATTGGTGGACATTAGCGGACATTGGTGGACATTAGCGGACAAACATTTTGAGGACTGAAGAGTACTGAAGAGTACTGAAGGGTACTGAGGAGGATGGCTGAGAAGGATGGCTGAGGAGGATGGCTGAGGAGGATGACTGAAGCGGATGACTGAGGAGGATGACTGAAGAGGATGACTGAAGAGGATGACTGGGGAGGATGACTGAGAGGGAGGAGAAGGATCAGGAAGACCCAGGAGGAGGAGGACCCAGAAGGAGGACTGAGGAGGATGACTGAGGAGGACTGAGAAGGAGGAGGACTGAGAAGGAGGAGGACTGAGGAGGATGGCTGAGGAGGACGGCTGAGGAGGATGACTGAGAGGGAGGAGGAGGAGGAAGAGGAGGAAGAGGACTGAGGGGGAGGAGGAGAAGGACTGAGGAGGAGAAGGAGGACCCAGGAGGAGGAGGACCCAGGAGGAGGAGGACCCAGGAGGAGGAGGACCCAGGAGGAGGACCCAGGAGGAGGACCCAGGAAAAGGCCCCAGGAGGAGGAGAACTGTTGAGGACTGATGAGGAGGACTGAGGACGAGGAGGAGGAGTAGGAGGAGGACTGAGGAGGGGAGGAGGAAGAGTAGGAGGAGGACTGAGGAGGGGAAGAGGAAGAGGACTGGGGAGGATCAGGAAGACCCAGGAGGACCCATGAGGAGGAGGAGGAGGACCCAGGAGGAGGAGGAGGACTGAGGAGGACTGAGGAGGAGGACTGACGATGACTGAGAAGGAGGAGGACTGAGGAGTACTGAGGAGGATGGCTGAGGAGGATGGCTGGGGAGGATGGCTGAGGAGGATGACTGAGGAGGATGACTGAGAGGGAGGAGGAGGAGGACTCAGGAGGAGGACTCAGAAGGAAGAGGAGGAGGACTCAGGAGGAGGACTCAGGAGGAGGACTTAGGAGGAAGACTTAGGAGAAATGAGAAGGAGGACTGAGGAGAACTGAGAAGGAGGAGGAGGAGGAGGACTGAATAGGAGGAGGAGAAGGAGGGGGACTGGGAGAGGACTGGGGAGGAGGAGGACTGATGAGAAGGATGAGGAGGAGGACCCAGGAGGACTGAGGACCGAGGAGGAAGAGGATAAGGATGAAGAGGAGGAGGACCCAGGAGGAGGAGGACTGAGGATGAGGACTGAGGAGGACTGAGGAGGATGGCTGAGGAGGATGACTGAGAGGGAAGAGGAGGAGGAGGAGGAGGATGACTCAGGAGGAGGAGGAGGACTGAGGAGGACTAGGAAGGAGGAGGAGGAGGAGGACTGAATAGGAGGAGGAGGAGGGGGACTGGGGGAGGACTGAGGAGGAGGATGGAGGACTGAGGAGAAGGATGAGGAGGAGGACTGAGGAGGACTGAGGAGGAAGAGGAGGAGGATGAAGAGGAGGAGGAGGACCCAGGAGGAGGACCCAGGAGGAGGACTCAGGAGGAGGAGGAGGACTGGGGAGGAGAAGGACTGTCGAGGACTGATGAGGAGGACTGAGGACGAGAAGGAGGAGTAGGAGGAGGACTGAGGAGGGGAGGAGGAAGAGGACTGAGGAAAATCAGGAAGACCCAGGGGGAGGAGGAAGAGTAGGAGGAGGAAGCATCTAAATGTTATTTCCATTTTTGTCCGTTTTTGTCCATTTTTGTCCGCTCTATTTTTTGTCCGTTTTGAAAATATAGGGTACCGAACGGACAAAAAACATGATCCCCCATAACAGCAAAAATTGAACATTTTATTTAGCAATTTAGGTGTCCATTGATGTCCGCCTATGTCCGCCTATGCATATGTCCGTCTATGTCCGCCTATGTCCGTCTATGTCCGCCTATGTCCTGTCCTTTTTGGATTCTATGAGACAAGCGGACATAGACGGACGTGACACCCCCCCCCCCCCCCCCCAATATAACAGGTAGAATTCGGTGACATTTTTTCGGTCCCAATTTGGACCATTTTACGGTCTTTAATTTATGAGGCAACTTTAATTTTTCCATTTTGAAGCCTATTTTAATTTAAAGACTTTGCCTTTATAAAAATCGCGTCTTATAAAAACAAACTGAGTGTACTGTACAGTATACAACAGTGATGTCCCTCCTAATAATTGTTCTAATGAGGTGTTGGTACAACAAGAAGTAGGAAACAATAAACTTCTAGGACAAAGATTAAGGAATCCAGAGGCTTAACAAACATGAAAACAGAAATTGTTGGAACCTTTTTGTCTTGTGGTGTCAAAAAGAGCGGCGTTGTATGGAATACATTGTAAATTTTAAGCAGAACTTCATGTAACTGACCTAACTTTAAATTCGAATTTATTAAAACGAAATTTACTTTTATTTAAAGATAAAATGTAACACAGAATATAACAGTAAAATGAAAATAAGAATAAAAATTCCAAGCTGAAGACTAGATTTATATCATCTTTATCTGCTTCACATCTGCGGGCAGAATTCTAGGACTAACCACATTAGAAGCGCTGTGGGATTCAATTTCATGTTTCACAATACGTATGGCCAATAAAATATAGCTGATCAGTGATCAAATATGTTCATAAATAAGTCCCTTATTCCCCGTATCTGTGAGGGTTGTGTTGCAGGTTCTGCACTCTAGGTAAACAAACACCTCTTTCATACATACTGCGAGCTAACCAAAATACAACAATTCCAACACCGATACTAATTACTGTATTCCTTGACTTCATGGTTTGAGTTCCATTATCTGCTATGTAATTTCAATTCTAGTCAGTCTTAAAGCAAGAAATGAAGATACAGAAGACACTAAAGTTCTTTCATACAAACATCGAAGATTGGGATTAGTTTCCTCAGTATCCTGAGATGTGTTATTTTGGGAATCGACACCTACATTTGCAGCTGAAGGTTTGATAGTTTCGTTTTTCAATCCATGTTCTTTAACATCCATTTTAAAGACTATTTCTAAAAATATTGTAACACGTAATGAAGAAAATTTGTATGGGTGGAAATTGTTACAGTAAGAAAAGCCATTTTTCTGCTACAGGTTTGGCGACCTAACAAATCATTGGACACAATAGTATGATATATGTAAGGATCTGGGATCCCCATCGAAATACAAATGAGGCCTGATCAGTCAAATTCCTGATGTTTGAAAAAGCTTAATAAGGCTTTGCAACAGCTGCCACAACCTTAACAGGGGCCAATAACAAACCCCCTTGTACCAATATAAGACTGGTGGTAAATTTATTGCTTCTTTAGCAAACGGCTTGAGCCTATTAAGGTAGAAAACCATGTTACCTC